CAATTGTGATCTCTGTTTGCACTGTTAATTGGAAAAACCTTCAAAATCTGAATATTTCATCACACAACTTAAATTGCTGTTTTAGTTAGGTTTTAGTGGTATACATCCATCAACTCATTACTACAACGACTTGACGCACCATAAAATTGTAGTACTGTACTATGTGTAGCGTGGGTTTGTGCTAAAAAAATTTCAAATGTAATATATAACTGTATATGCATTTATATATATTTGATACTCTCTAAACCTTGTAATGACAGGAATTTTTTGCATTTTACTGTTCTTTTTTTGCATTAATCAACTAGTGTAGCACTAATTTAAAAATATAACCTAATTAAAATTGCTCACAAAATATCATAATTGTTGAATCAACAATATATATAGATTGGATCCCAGACATCGATAAATTTAAGGGAAGGAGAGCGGAGGGCTCGTCCCCTAGGGTTGAGAAATCCTATGATACAAAATAGTATTTGATAAGTGACTCCCACAATTGATGTGAAAAAGAATTAAAAATTAAATTTTTAACACAAGAAATAAAATTTTAAAGTTAACAACAATTGGAGCAAATCTTAATTAGGTATTTCTTCTTCTAACTTTTGTGGTTGTTTTCAAGATTTCTAGTAGCCATATATATATATAATATATATATATATATATATAAGAGAGAGAGAGAGAGAGAGAGAGAGAGAATATAGCTCAAAAAGAGCCTATAATTTGAGGCTATGATGGAGGATTTGATAGGTGCTCTTTAATAAATCTTAGTTTCGATTCATGTTTTTTTTGGAATCTCAATTCCGATTATCCTATTTTGTGAATTGTTGGAGATGCCACTCCATTAACCAATATTGGTGGCAATTGATTGAGACGTCTACCATCCATTTGAGAAATTTCTTATGAGACCATGCATAGTTCTCCCATAATTTAAACACTTTGTTCATCTATCACCGATGGCTAGAAATAGTCAAGCATGTGCAGCAAGTAAGTATATATATATAACCTTTTTTTGCCATTGGGTATCTAGGTCTTCGATTGCAACCCTTGACGTGGGTGAGGGCATCGCGCACTCTGTGTAATTTAATTCGTGGATATATAGAGGCACTAATCTTAATCAAGTTCCTAAAATGCCCAACAATCTCATAGTAGTGTGACAATAGGCTTGAGAGTGACGATACAGCCATTGCATTAAATTAGTATCCGCTTTGTCAAAAGAATAGGTGCCCCAGACAACCAACCCCCCCCCCCCCCCTCTCTCTCTCTGTGCATATGGAAGAAACAAAGAAAGAGAGATGAGTGAAAGCTAGTTGAAATTATTATATTCTCTTGGCACCATTGTAAAAGATGAGGACTTCTCTTGTTTGTGTCCAAGTCAACATAGTGCCAAGAAAAACACTCATTCCTTGGAAATGGCCACCCATGGCTGGCTTCATTCACCCTCTTCCTTTAGCAGGCCTCTTTGTCTAGCAAAACTAGCTGGTCCCATATAAATAAAATAATATACATATACATACATACATATATATATATATGTATATGTATATGTATATAGATTTCTTGGGGTTGTAAGTGTGGACAAGGCTCTCTTGGAAGGGTCGTGGGTCGTACCTTGTGGTGTCCAGTGGTTAGCAGGAAAGGTGGTTGCAGCCATGAGCTCATGGTTGGCTCTGCATCATAGTCATAGCAGCTCATCACCCCCATCCAACCCATTATTAATAGACCAAAATAGCTTTCTTTCTACGTGTCTCTCAAGACGTATGTTCTTGTCATGACATGTCTTTGCCCATTCAACCGCATAAAAACAAAAGACAAAAAACTATTTTCACAAAAAAAAAATTGAAAAAGGGAAAGAAATAGAGAGAAATTCATAAAAACAACAAAAAGAAAAAAAAAAAAAATTCTCCATGCTTGATAAATGCTGGGAAAAGCCATTTCCGAATTCGTTTAAAACAAACACTGTCTAAAAAGGATTTATGAAAGTTGACAGTGTTTTTTAAATTATAGGGTGTTCAAATTTATACCGACTACTCCCTCAATTTCAGTGACTGACCACTATAATTTGAACTAGGTTAAAGTATGTCCTAAACGGAGAAAATGTGATATGAAAGGACCTTATACCTTTCATATGGCATTTTTGTGAACGTTTCTGAGATGAACGTGCTTACTGCTCCGGGTAATTCCAAGAACTTCTCAGTATCAAACAAGCCAATTTGAATCATGGTGGTAATAGGACAGTTCAATCTACCTCAAAGTTGGTCCCACAATGCACCTTAATTGGGGCTGACCCATTGTTAATGTTTCGGTATCGTATTTGTCTGTGAAAATGTACAACTAAACAAGCTTGTCACAATGCAGTTGTGCTGATGTGGGAGGTACAGTAACCATTTTATGTGTATGATCATGCCTGTGTTCGTAATTGTTTATTGTGGGACCACTGATTCTCCTATTTATTGCTTTTGTTCTTAAGCAGCTCCATATATTTATGAGTTATATGACTAAATATTTCAGTGTCCCACCCCCTACTTGAATGCAAAAATAATACCAACGTTCGTAATCAGTGCACAACTCTCAACTATAGTTGGGTAGGGAGAGATAAATTGTATGCATACTTATTCCAATTTTGAGAGTCTTGTCTTAAGCTATCGTGTTTTGACCCAATGCCGTTATCCATTATTACTCTCCTAAAAGCTTAATGATGTTTTGTGCTAGGTAAAGTGTTCCTGTATTTGTTCTCGATCAGATATGATTAATATCTTGCTTAATTTGATGAAGTGATGATCAAATTTCCACTTTCATAAATGAAAATTTGAGCTTATTTTATATATTTGTTGTAAATGACAACATATTACGTATATATTGATAGTTCAGTGTACAAAGCTTCCGCTTTTATGGGGTTTACAGATGTTTTTATGAGTCAAATTTGTGATGCTCGGATTGCCATGGAAGAACTTTATTCGCGCCGGGTATTGAATAAAGATGTTCCACAGGGAATCAGTAATGGTGAAAGCAAAACCCTAAATGGGACCTATCGATGGCTCCAAAGGTGTGACCATAATGAATTTAGGGGGACAGAGATTGCAGTTAGAGCTTTGATTCTTGGCAGAAAAATAAAAAGACCCACCAAACCCCACACTTTGATGTTGCTTCCCACTTACCTCATGAGGTCCTTTTTGCTTCCTGCTGCTTCTTGTGACTGGCATTATTATCAGAAGAGATGCCCAAGTACTTGCATGGCTCACATATAAATAACACCACCCACCTTCCTCTTACTGACATTATCATTAATAAATGTTCTACCTCTCTATTGCTTCATATTTTTGTTTTGTCACATTGCATTGTATTTCATATCGCATTTTCAAAAAAGATATGTAGCACAGTGTTAGGATTAAGAATCACTCAAATTGGTTTTCAAATGTTGTTCTACATCGTGTTTGTTTTCAATTTATTACTTGCATGAACAGCGTAGATTCTCCGGTTTTAAAATGAGCTCTCAATGTTTAATTGTCTAAATTTAGTCACTCAGCCATATAAATTACACTTATCAGTCCCCTTGTACCCAACTGTTCATGTAAACTAAGGGAGAAAGCCACGATACTTGCTTCAATTTTCCCCTAAACTCTAAAGTTTCATTAGATTTTCCGTCTCTCATGAGAACAGATAGAAGGGGTTGAACTATGATTTACATATCTTAAAGACTAAATCAAGATAATTGTAAGTTGGGGTGACCAATTTAAAATTCGTGTCAAAGTTTGTGGTACATATATGCTATTTACCCTTTATGATTGAATTCTTACATTTTGTGAAATTTTGGAACGAATTTGTCATAGGAGTCCACAAAAATAATAAAAAATAACAGCAGAGTGAAATGTTGGTACTCATTATAAATAACCATCCTTCTGATTCCTTCATAATGATGCATGGCAGAAGACACCTTAGAGTTTGGCTCCACTCCAACCTTTAGTAGTTATATTGTTCTTTCTGAAAAAATCATAATCTTGGCAACATGAACTAGTTATAAACTCAGATATCCTGAGTTCAAATCTTGATAATTTTTGGGGTCAAATTATGAAAAATTTATCTTTTATAAATACTCTAGTCCCAACGTGGATAGTTTGTCATTGACCAGACAGGAGAGAAGATTAGTCGAGATGCGAGTAAGTTAACTCAGACATTCCTAACTGTTGAACAAAAAAAAACCCTAATCAATCTATAATGTGCTACATTATAGCTAATTTCATCTTTTTGGGGGTATTTGTAATAATGCAATCCAATTGTATGTCACACATCAATTTTGAGTGGAGCCTCAGAGGATTTAAAATGTCTCATAACAATTCATAAAGTATTTACATATAGAGCCTATCAATCTTCTCCAATCAAGCAATATGGAGCTAATAGATGGTCTATATACCTCACCAACCTTCACGTTTTACCTTTTCTCAAGGCTTTTTGGACTGTTGGATGGTTGAAATTCCAAATTGTCAGAGTGTTAGTTGGTATGCAGTCCGGTTAACTTTAATATCATATATTGTTGGGGATGTAATAATGTTTGTCCAGTGCACATTATAGAAGTTTGATGCTAAATACAAACGTTCTTTATTTTTTCAAAATGATTGGAAATGTAAAAGGTCTTTATACAACCATAATTTGGGGTGTAATAATTAATGACATGAAAAAAAACCCTATTTCATAATAACTCAATGTCGTATATAGTGCACACACCTCTTACTTATAGCAAGATCTGAAAGTGGTAAATTGTAGAAACTTTACTTCCATTTTGTACAAGTGAATTCTCCGACTTAAACTTGCAGTACATCACTCAGATGAATGAATACTGTCGATCAATACATTTCCAACCTCTACGCTCTTAAGATGAACTATAGAATCTAAGTTATGTTTTCAATTTTTGACATGCATTATGTAGAGTTATATATGTGCAACCTGTTTTTCCCATTAGCACATCTTACCCAAGCCTCAAAAAATGAATTGAAGAGAGAGAGAGAGAGAGAGAAGCCAAGGATGTGTGATTATCCATCTGCTACAATAGCACAACTATAAAGCAAAAGGCGAGTCATGCATGCCTAGGTATTGTTTTAGGTAATAGTTCATTGAATTGTCCATAAACAAACATAGTATTCCATCACTAATACACCATTATCTCAGCTGTTAGTTCACATTACATTCATGAAAGATAGGATAAGATCTTATATTATTCATTTTTCTGATATCATGCTAATTGAGACTAGCTAAAGATTAGTTGCACGAAGATTCCTTTGGAAAATCAAATGCTTCTTTAGATCAACTTGCCAAATATTAGGTGAAGGCAATATATACCAAATTTTGCCTAGTACGTCTAGGCTAACTAAAGGAGCACATTTTTAAATCTAAACAATTTGACATAATTTTGTATGTGTCAAGTGATATAGTATCAGTGAAGAAGTCGATTAATTATAATTATAATAATGCTATTGGATCACATTAACCGTGTATCATTAGGTCAGTAAAAATAAGTTAAATTTTTAGGTTTCAATAGTATTTCTCTAACTAAATTAGTAGAGGTACGACATCATTTAGTTAATTAGGCTAACGTGAAATGCATTTTTTTGGGTGGTTTATGTTCTCATTCCTTTTAGGAGAAGAAAACAAAAAGGTGAAAAAACAATATTATGGTGGATTGAGATATCTCATGTCATGGTTAGGAGTGCTTTTTGGTGTGAGAGAGAGGGTTGGGTAGTGGGTGGACTGTAGAGAAGTGGTGGATGTGTGGAATGAGAATGGTGCCATATTGAAAAAACAAAACAAAGTACAAGAAAATTAATGGTGGGAATGGAAAAAGATAAGAGGAACAGAAGGAAAACCCTAGAAAATGTGACGGTTGTCAGGGGTGTGTGGGGGTAAAAGAAATTGGTGGGGAATGGTTGGATTAGGATTAAAGAAATGTCTTAAGTAAAGTAGGTGATTTCTTTACACTTCTTGGAAATGATGATTCTCTTTTTATTCAAATTCAACCCATAATGAGTTAAAAGAAAGTTGTAATAATAATAAACACTATTAATTTCTACTTTGTGAACTAAAAAATATCGAATTAAATTTTATTAAAAATTTTGCATACAGTAATAAGACTAAATATACCCAATCCTCTAAAAACCTTATAATTACAAGAGACTCATTCACCAAACTTCATTTTCTTTATTTAGCTCACTCATTGCCTAGATTGAATTCTTAAAAGAAAGTCTTAACTTTCAAATGTACATGATAAAGAATCACTTAGGTTAATGCTATTAACTTTATCACCAATGAATATAAATAACAAAATAACTTGGGTGGCAAGTATGATTGTTGTGGCCAGAAAGACAAGACGATGTTGATGGAATACTGAATTTTAGCCCTCTTCTTGATATTTGTCAGCCAATATGTCATTGCTTTGAATTGTTTCCTAGCCCAATCCCCAAGCATAAGCTCAATTTTCTTTAAGGGGAAAATTCCAAGGGGCATCTAGAAAATAGCTCTAGGGTTCTAACCGAAGTTGACTTGAACAGTTATGAATGCATCATCCATTGCACCTAGCTTTGTAAGACATGACATTGTCCTTTGGCGGGTTCCCTATTCTTTTTTTTTAGTATTACACTAATTAGCGTTTAGATTAATTTACATATATTTCGACTAATCATTTTTTTTAATCCAATCAAAATCAGACCAACCACGTCGAAACTCAAAACTTATCCCTCATATTTATTCCTTATTACTTAACTCCAAAAAAATAATCAAATTTCAAACTCAAGATATTTGCGTTTACCTCTCTTTTTTATATCCACAGTCTACTCCTAGGAGTTAGGGTTCCCAATTTGCAAAGCTCTTTCAAGTGGGACAATCTGCAAACTTTTTTTCTTTTTTTAGGGGGGTAAGTTATGTACAAAGGTTATTAACCTAGTTATTTTTGAGTTTATCGAGAGTGCTTATGACGATGAAATGAATACAGTAACAGTTGATATTTACTTGAACAAAATGGTGGTTTTCAACATCTGTTTTTGGGTATTTATGAACATATTTTTTTGGGTAAATTATTCAGGAACATTTCCCAAAGTGTTGAAGGCGAATAACACGTTAAAGGCAATAAAAACAAATTACATTTTTATTTTCCTGTAAATTGGTATCACTTAAAAATTTTCAAAAAGTAATGTAAAATTTTTAATTTTTGAGAGGACAAAACAAATATTTTATATTCTTTCAGGGTATAAAGCCTTATTTGCCTCCTTATGAAGTATGACATACATACATAAATATATATTAATAAATTAAGATTCAATACTATTATATATATGTGTGTGTGTGTGTGTGTGTGTGTTTCTCCTTTAACCATCTAGGCGGAACAACAAAGCACTACATAAACAAGAATGCCAAAAAAGAAAGAAAGAAAATGAAAGGCTGTCTGTCATAAGAGGGAGAGAAAAATAATGAGTTATGAAGTTGGGTGCGAGAGGTCTGAGTGTGCACATCAGATTGCGTATATATATACATGAGAGAGAGAGAGAGAGAGAGGGTTTTATATATTACCGTGCAACCCCGTGTTAGTGTGGAGAACTGAGAGATGATTAATGGGTTATGGTGGTGTGATGGGGGGGAGGGGTGTTGAACTGTAGAAACACACCCTTGTGGGTCCTTAAGCAGGGACAAATTGCTTGATGCCATTCCAAGCACTCTCTTTCACATTTCCTACTCTTTTCTCTTTCTCTTTTTTGTGGCTTCTCTCTTTCTTTGTCAACCCCCCCCTCCAAAAAAAAAATAATAATAATTAATTAAAGCAAACAACAACCTTCTTGGTTTTGGAGAAGATTGTCGATACCAACTCTACTTGCTTGTGCAAGATTCAATCTTTCTTTTTTATTCCTCTTCCACCTCTAAAATTTTTTCTTGCAAGCTAAATTTTTACCTTTCGAACCGATGTTTGACAAAACAATGACTTGCAAATCTTATCGTGTCAAAATTATACTTGAGTTTTATTCGGGTCACAGAATTAAGTCTCACCAATGCATCATATTCATCCATTATCCTCTTTAGATACTCTTTTTTTTTTCCTATCATGCATATTCATTCCCACTTAGTCTCTTTTTAAATGTTTCATCTTACTCGTATTGTGTAAATCATTGTAATTCGTTGTAATGTTGAATACCTAATATTATAACATCCTCAAACGAGACATACGAGCGTCATTATTGTCAAAGGTAAAGATTGATCTATTTTACTCCTTTATTATAAGTTTTCTTTCGATGTTTACAGCACTATAATACTGTTCATTGGATTGTAATGTTGATACATTATTTTTATCGAGAAAACTTTGTTTGTTTTGTTGGCTCCAATTTCGTTTCGGTTGATTTAAACTTTTAGGCTCTTGTACTGTATTTTGTTCACCTAATTCATCAAGAATTCATGTGAACAAAGATTACATATTAAATTCATCAATCAATCTGATAGTGTTTGACTCATTCATAGCCGCCGTGGAAGTTACGAGTTATATCGACCCCATTCCTTTCTTATTTTTTACTTTCATGTATGAATGGTTCTTGCCAGTTGCTTGATTGAAAATACCATTTGAGAATGGCATGTTTCATGAATGAAAAGCTTGCAAAATGGACTTGCGGGTTGAAACAAAAGCAACATAATTGTGTACACGGTGCTTAATTTGGACATGTGGTGGCCATTTTACATTGTTCACAACCATAAATAAGATTCTTAATAATTCTCAATTCCCACCAACCATTTCTAGTATCGACATGAACGACGCGTAATGAATGGGGGTGGCTCCATGGATCGCCTCAATTTGATCAAAATAGTCACATAATATGAATCGAACAATCAAGGTTTGACAGTTCATCGTCGTTTGAACTCCAAAATCCTATTAAGTGAACCAATCCTTATTAATCAGTTCACATTGTCCGGTAAATTTGGAAAAAAAAAATTATTGTCTCAACTTTGTCCTAATTTAGAGCATCCATATTGGATTGTGGGTACACTCTTTTGCAAATGATAAAAAAAATTTAAGTTCAAATTGTAATAGGGATGAACTATAAACTCAGATATCTTGAGTTTAAATTTTGGCAATCACTATAAGTTAGATCATAAAAAATTTATTCCTTATGAATACCCTAGTCTCAACGTGGATGACCTGTTTTTGACTGGACTAGAGAGGATATTAATCAAGATATACATAAACTAGCCTAAATGCCCCTAATCGTTGAACCAAACAAAATAATAGTCACATGACTCGGATGAAAGAAAACGCCTATGGTAAACAGTAAAAAATGCAAATCCAAATAGAGGCTAAAAATTATAGGTTTCCTAGCCAACAAATTCTCTATTCATTTGGTAAATTCTCATGGCCACCCAACAAAATTGATGATGGTACATGAAGAGTTTAGATGGAGTTTTAGTCCTTCAAAATCTATTTTGTTCCAACTAAAACGGTGCAAGTTCTTGAAACATTCTCTTTCTAAAATGAAGGGTAAAAGGCTATATCAGTCAGGAAAAGAGAACAGAACCAACAACTATGCATGCAATTAGGTCGGAGGTATTCTGATCTCTTCTTTATTTTCTAAGATAAGAAGGAAGAATGTGGTGCATAGCTGTTAAAAGGAGTTTTGAATCTTCAAAACCAAGTCAATTTCCACCCAAACAAAGACAAAACCACATACATACTCAACTCATTCTGTTTTTACCAATTTGACTGAATTAAATAGATTTTGGGTGGGCAGCTGGAATCTGTATTATAGACCATGATTTTTTTTATTTTCTTCCCAAAATAGAAAAAAAAAAGTCCAAAAATACTTGAAATCAAGTGGTTCTAAATCATTTATTTTTAAGTTTCTTATCTATTTCTTGGTTTTCTTTGTTCCACAAATAAGAAATCGGTTCTAGAGCATTATCACGGGGATTTATTCGTTCTAGCTAACAACACATTTAGACGTCAATCTCCTCAAAAACGAAGATACAACACTTAGAATTTATTATAAACGATAGTCTTGTTTATTGGTACTGAGTATTTCTGTAATTTTTTTCATAAACAGAACTGAATTAAGTAGATAACAATTTGGAATGGAAAAAATATATCTGGTACAAATCAAACCCAATAGGAGAATGCTCTGTTTTTTTGGATTGGAATCATGAATGCTCAGTGAAATCCTGTGCTTTTTTAAGGCAATCAAGGACTGTGTTGTCTTTTCCTAGCAGTATACGTGCTCCACTTACCAAGATTATAAAATACCCAATTCAGCAGGAAATTAAAAAATAAAAAAGTCTCTCTCTCTCTGTCTGTAGTATTATATGAATACGTCTATGTATATATATGTAGAGAGAGAGAGCAGAGAGGGAAAGTTAGTCAGCATGGGCCATTATACAAACAGTCCCAGCGGCACAGGCATCGGCTCTGCACGCCCAACAACACCACACCACCCAACTTCAACACCCCCATCCTCATTGATTCTCTCTCTCTCTCTCTCTCTCTCTCTCTCTCTCTCTCTACATATACGTATACATATGTGTATATATATATATATATATTTAGTATTCTACGGAACAAATTACAAAAAGATAAAAAAAAAACTATTAAATGGATAAACAATAAAAGATTTAAGTTTAGGAAGCTTTTGATAGGAAACACGAGACCCTGCTCTTCCTTGAAGAAAAAAAAAGCCAAACCCACGCTAAAGAAGAAGAGAACGAAGGGAAAGAAAGAACCGGAATAAGGCTGAATTCTATCTGTATCTTTCTCGCTTGGACTCATTCGTTTCAATCGCATCTCTCTCCTCTCTCCCTCTCTCTCCACAAAGCATGGCATAGCAACCAAGGCAGCCAAACAAACAAAGAGAAAGAAAAGTAGGTGAAAACAAAGTGAAGAGAAGGATGGTGGTAGCCTGTTTCCAGATGAACTCATTTACTTTCGATTCTCTATAAGCTCTCTCTCTCTCTCATTCTTTTCATTTTTCCTTTTCTCATTGAAGAGTCCGCCTTGGGTTGGGGCATCTTCTTCTCTGTCATGCTGTTTATGTGTTAGCGTTTATTAGCCCTCCCATACGCGTCCCACCACATTGCTTTCTCTCTTCTTAACCTCTCTTCATCATCATATCTCATCCTCACCTCAATACGTTTCTTTTTTCATTCACTGTATTCTTATAATATGGCCGTTCAAGCTCAATACCCATCAAATGTCCTCTTCCTGAACAGGTTTGCATTCACCTCTATACCTCTCTCCCCCTCTAAGTTCTTCCTCCATTTCTCTATGTTTTTCTAAATGGGTTTCGATTAAATGATCAAGTGACTCTCTTGCAGAAGCGTACAAGAAGGAAACAACCCACTGGGAGACGAATATTCATTGCAGCCACAGCCAGGAGGAGGTGAAAGAGGAGGATTCTTTGATCAATCCCATATGTTATTCAACAATGGAGGTGAGCTATTGTCAATCTCTCTTTCTTTCTCAATTAGGCCTTTCGGATTCAATTGGAATGCAAGTTCTTTTGCTGATTAGATTGCAACTTTGTTCCTTTTCTTTTTACAGTATTAGGGACTAATCATTCACGCAAAAGAGGAAGAGATGGGAATATCAATCCATTAGCCTCTATGCAATCTCAGCCTTCTCAGCTCATAGACGTCACTCAGCTCCACACCCCTCAGCCAAATGTCGTCTCTACTGGTCTCCGGTTGGCTTTTGGAGACCAACAACAATTCCAACTGCAACAACGGCAACAACATCAACAACCCCAGACCCAAAACCAACAGCAACAAACTCTCTCTCCTCAATCCTCTGTTCTATTATCGCTATTAGCAGAAGACTTTGAAGCCCAAATCAAACAACAAAGAGACGAAATAGAACATTTTCTCCAAGCCCAGGTACTAATTTCGTTTTCTCATTTCCACCCAAATGAAATCTTTGAGTGTTGTATTCGATTGTAATGCTTGAGAAGCCATTTGGGTTTTCTGTTCTATAATTTCTGTTATGGAATCAACTAGAAATGACACTTCTTTTTCATATTCAGGGTGAACAATTGAGGCGCACTCTAGCAGAAAGAAGGCAAAGCCACTACAGAGCGTTGCTAAGGGCAGCAGAGGAGTCGGTGGCGAAAAGGCTAAGGGACAAGGAGGCGGAGGTGGAGAAGGCGGCGCGGCAAAACGCCGAGCTTGAGACTCGGGCAGCGCGGCTGAGCGCGGAGGCTCAAGTATGGCAGGCCAAGGCAAGAGCGCAGGAGGCCACGGCGGCGACGCTTCAGGCGCAACTGCAGCAGGCTATAATGAGCGGCCAGGATAGGGAGGAAGGGGGAGGAGGAAGGGGGCAAGGATGCGCCGCCGCGGGTGAAGCGGAGGACGCTGAGTCGGCGTACATTGACCCGGACAGAGTCGTTGTGTCGACTGGGCCGTGTTGCAAGGCGTGTCGGAAACGAGTCGCCTCAGTGGTGCTGTTGCCGTGTCGCCATTTATGCGTTTGTACAGTTTGTGATGCTGTGGTTCAAGCTTGTCCTCTCTGTCTCTCTCTCAGAAGTTCGAGTGTAGAGGTCTTTCTTTGTTAGGAGCCCTAGCCCATTGTTAAAAAGCCTAGTTCAAGGCCCAGTATTCTTATTGGGTCTTGGCCCATTTTTGTGAGGTGGGCCCAATGGGGGTGATGATGGCAGGGTAGTGCATTTGGATGGGAAAAAAAAATAAATAAAAGAAAAAAGACAAAAATTATTGAATAGAATAACAATTACCTTCACTGCTCCTGCTTTTTTAAGGTTTTTTTTTTTTTTTTTTAAGTTTTTCTTTTACTCACTTGAAACTCAAATATTTTTTGTTTCTATTGTTTGTTTACTTCTTTTTCTTTTTTTTTTTTCCCAAGGGGATGGAACTTGGGGGTAATGTATATGGCCACATGGCAAGTGGCATTACTTTTTTTTTTTTGTTCTTTTTCTTAATGTTGAAATTTAATTCATATGTAAATTCTTTTATTTGATAAATTACTTTTCCATCTAGATACAGTCCTACAAATACATTTTTTATTTTTTTAGGTATTCAATGATAATGTGAAGATAATGTTGAGTTTTGCATCGTCATGCATTATTGTTGTAGTTAAAGCTTTCAATTTTTTTTATTTTTTTTTAGTTTAATAGTTAAGGGTATTTGAGTCAACTTACGTACATTTCGATTAATCTCATTTCTGCTTTAGTCAAAAACAGGTCATTCACGCAGAGATTAAGGTATTTTTTTAGTTAAAGATTTCACATGTGTGATAAGGATAGAAAAAAAAATTGTTCTGCTGCAATGCAACATTTTATCAAGATAGCCCCCGATTTTTATTGTCTTTTTTTTTTTTTGGTCAAGGGGCCTCAAATTTCATTCAACAATGCTCCATTGACTAATTTTCTATTACTTTTGCATATAAATTCGACATAGAAACATTACAGTAAAGGGTTTAATTGAATCACATCAATTTCTAAATAACAATTGGATTTTTTTGCATTTTGCACTCTGAAAAAATGTCTCAATTTTTATTTTGCACCCTGAAAAATTATTTTTTTTACATTACAACTTCAGTGTCATAAATTAATTCCAATGTAGTCCTTAAACTAAAATTTGTTTTAAATTCTATTAAAATTGATGCACTACCACCTACATATATTACTCTTGGACAAAAATATAAACTTACAATTCATATTCTTGAGTGATATATGCATCAATTTTTAATGAAATCTGACATAGATGTTAGTCCGAATCCACATTGAAACCAAGTTAAGACATTCAATGTGCAATGTAGAAAAAATAATCTTTCGAAGGGTGCAAAGTGAGAATCAAGACACCTTTCGGAGTGCTAAGTGTAAAAATCCGACAAAAATTTATATATAATATATCAAGAACAAAATTTTTATAAGAAAGAATTAATTAAATTCCTTCGGATGAATAGTAAATTTCTATTCTTCATAAACTTGATTGGTAAGGACCTGTTTGGAAAATGTCATGAAGCGTGTTATCTAAACGCGCAAATCACACCAGAGGCCCAGCCTACAAAGTTTGAATAAAAAGCTAGAAAAGTTTATGGGGTCAATTTTGAAGAAAGATTCTAAATTGTGACATTGTTCATCTTCATCACTAACATATTCCTTCCATTTCACAGCTAGAATAATAAAAACTTGGGACCATTTTACATTCATCCAAACAGACCTTTACTTTTTTTTATTCTCTGTATAGTTCTATTCTAGCTATTAGCTATTGATTCCTTTTCCATCTAAACTAAAAACCTTATTTGTGAAGCATTTCCTTTTCTGAAGTTTCTAAGATTCTTCCTCTTGACATGCCATGGATCACATGATCTCTGAAACGCCACTGTTTTAGAACTTAGCAGCTTGTGAATTATTGAGTTTTGAATTGAAAAGAACATGTTCCTAATTTACTTTTTTGTAAGCAACACCATCAACTACCCTTTTCAATTCAAACACACCTACATAAGAAACAGAATTATGTTCAAATTTTTAGTCTAGGTAGGCCTGGAAATAATTATCAACGACACGATTGTTGTCATGGATAATCATGTGGAAAAGGTAGAGAAAATTATTGATTTTTGTTTTAGTCATTTAGTCTCGGTTATGAAAATATTTTCTTAAGATTTGATTCGCAACTGAAGTTGATACAGAGTAAGATGTAGAATTGATATTGTCGAACTTGAGCATGTTCAACTTTAGCTTGGTTGTGACTAGCCAAACTTAAGCTCGGCCGTTTAACTTAGATTTTTACTCAATCTCGGACCATTCAATTTATGTAAATGAAATTCATTTACAAAACAAAGTTTAACAATGACCAAAACCGACAACGAGTCAGCAAATTAAATTGAAATTGCTGATATCGTTTAACAGTCCTATTTAGAACAAGCTATAAAGAAAATCTTTATACAAATTGATACGGAGGAAACTCAAGGCCAAGGCTTTGATGGCCCAGAAGCCTGACCAGCCCAAGAGGCCCGGAGCAAAGAAGGAGAACTTAGCGTCGGCAGAAGGCCTATAACCCAACAATCCAGGCCCAGTCCAAACCTAAAGCGGTTCAAAGGTTAAAAGTCCAGTTCAAACTACTTCTGGATCGCCAGTGGGAACCACGCACTCTAGGGATGTAGGAGACCACTCCTGACACCTACGACAATCTTAGAAAAGGTGGAGCGCCAAGCCACCAGAGATCGTGGCGACGGCAGCACCGGATGAACAGTGATCGTGGTGACAGAAGAAGCAGAAAAGGGTAGAGGAAAGAACAAGAGGAATCAATACGAAAGAAAGGACAGCTGAAGACCTTAGAAGAGACTAATATAAATAGAGAACGACAACCTGGCAAGAGAAAATTTCCCTGAACCACTAAGTATTCAGGAAGCCTAGAAAAGAAAGCCAAGAGAGAAAAGGACACTCACCCTTTGTAAGAGGACTCCGAGTCCCCAATTTTAGGGGGCGCATCTCTGATCAATTAATATACAAAATCAGTGAGCAAGAGACTCCATTGATAATGAACGTAGCTTTAGTCCATCAGCTAAGATGAACCACTTATATTTCCCGTCTAATTAATTACGAAAGGTCAATCCATAATCTGCAAAACCTACTCAGAACATCACTCCATCATAATTGGGCTTAGGCCATAAATTTTGAGCACCGTCACATTTGTTTGCTAATGTGTGTGCGGTCGCATGTGTTTAGGTAAGTATGATAAAATTACATTTTTGCGGATTATTTGTTTTTTGGGATAAAGTGATAACTTTATATCAAATCTAACATGACGGTGAAAGAGAGAAAATTGGGTGTGGCTCTATTTTCTAGAATGTACCCTTCTTTTATAAATCATTTTCACACTAAATACTGTCAACCAAACACTGCTACTAAGCTGAACAAACTCACACACACACCTGGTTTCACCATTATTACCTCCAAGCACTAGTTCTGGCCAAGTAGCCAGAGGAGAGAAATGAAGTACCCAAAGCATTGTAAATATGGGGCCCTTGATATGAAGTGTGTTGTGGATAGCAGTTTGACAATACAGAGAGAGAGAGAGAGAGAGAGAGAGATGAAATGTCATCTAGAAAGAAATGTGAAAGTCATTAATCACAGGCCTGATCTTTAGGTAATGTTTTGGAGCTTTCTCTTCTTTTGCTCTCGGTTAGGTAAGAAGGCACATTTTCTTTTATGTTATCATTATTTTTTGCCAATATCAAACAAAAAAAAAAAAAAGGCAAGTAGTAATCATTTTTATTTATTATATAATTTTTTTTTGGACAAAAAAATTGGGTATTGTTGGTTGTTGTTCAAATAGTGAAAATTGTAATAGATTGTTATTGAACATGTCGCGTTTTAGGTTTTAATGGTGTTTATTAAGTCAAAATAATAGTTAGGTCAATCGGTATCACTTTGACTCTTTTTCCGTAAGGAAGATTAGAGATTTGAGTCCATTAGAGGAAATAATAATGACATGTGCACAGTACACTAACATTGTGCACCACCATGATTCGTCCGAATACTTTTGTGGGGCAAAATCCAATTAAGAAAGTCTTGATCGATCGTAGTTTGGACGAAAAGACTTTGATAATTAATACTTTTAGATAATTAGTTCGAGTCCCGCAAAAGAATTTCAAATTTACCAAACCCGATTTAAATTTGAGTTTATACATTAGCTACGTGTCCAAAAAGTGGTTGAATCACTCTTATTGTAATTGTTTCTACTCGCAATATATAATTCTTTATGCACTAAATTTGTGTAGTAACACTTGCATCAAATTATTTGTAGTCATTCGATTAGTTAGTGAATGACTGTAAGCGATTTGGTACAAGTTTTTATGCACATTTTTTGTGCACATAGCATTACTCAATGTTGATTAGTCCCACCTTGTGCATGTGAGTTGCAAGTAACAAAGACCCAGATATTAGCTATAAAGAATGATATCAAGAGATAATGATCGTAATCATTAAATTATTAATGAATTTCAATATTAAATGTACTCGGTTTATCAATCAAATGGTCTCAATAAATTATATTTCTAAATTATGTCCAAATAACATTGATGATCAACTACTCTACCTTGAGTCGTAAGTAAAAAAGGACATAGATAAGTTTACTAATAGACCAAATTTGAATTCGAGTTTACATGCTTTGAATTCAAATGTGACTTGAATACTTTGATTTGGGTTCAATTTGATCGTCAAACAAATTTCAATTTAACAGGTAATACGCAGTCAACTAAGAATCAAGAATTCAATCCGATCAACTCAAGTAGAACTAATTTTTAACAAATTGTGTCTAAATCTCAACTCAATTTTGTTAATTAATCACTTAATGTCGCCATATATTTTAAAATTGTGAATCACAATTAATCGACTAATCAGACTCAAGTTCGAATCGAATTCGGATCAAAATCTAATCACGGACGAAATAGACCTAAATGTCAACAACCCCAAAAAAAAAAAAAAAACCTATGTATCTCTTGATTTAAAGCGTGAACCTGTAGCTGGATAGGACAACACAAGTGTAGACGTTGGGACTGATTTGCTAACCCGTACCCCGAAAACACCGAACACGGGCACGCCTCTCAGCAATGGATCGGTTTTGAATAGGCTTGATAATCGAATTAAATTATTCGAGTATAACTTGAATTCGACTTATTTAAAAAAATGGATTTTAAAAGACTCATTTTATTT